TAATATTTACAGTCCTTATCTTTTCTCTTCAGGCTGCTAAGTGTTTCTCTCTCTCTCTTTAAGCTTTGGGACGCTCTGGTTCTCTGTCATTTTCTGTTTATTTCAATCAAAGAAGAAGTAAATGGTGTCACTTCCTGCTGTTAGGAGGTGTGTGTGTGTGTGCGTATCGGAGGGGGGGCTGGGTCCTGCTGAGGACAGTGACATGTTTACTGGCTTCCCATGTGGTAGTACTAACAGCGACTGACATCAGCACAGTGTCGGCCATCAAAACATCTGTCACACGAAGCTAACGCTGCCACTATAACCCAAATTCACCCCCACCAGAAACACCCCGTCCTACGGGCTCCAGTCACCATTTAGACCTCTTAGGTAACATTTTCATGCCTTGTTCCTCCCCCCCCCCACCCCTCTTACTTACCTGCCCTCCCCCCTTCCTTTTTTTTTGTTTTACCTCATCCACTTCCAGGACAGGAAATTCTTCAAAGGATTCTTTGCTAAAGTAAGTTGTCGCTTTGTGTGCGTGTGTGTGGGGTTTTTTCTCTTTATTATTAGAATTATTCTTACTTTCCCTTCTCTCTCTCACTCTTCACCCTTTGATCACACCTCACGACACACACTGTCTGTCTCTCTCTCCGAATGACGGAGGAAAATCTGTCTGGAGAAAGACAGACGCATAAATGTGTGTGTGTGAGAGAGAGCAGGTGGGGTGGTTTTAGGCCGGGTGGGGCGCGGTTTCTTTTTGTGTGTGTGTTTTTATATTAACAGGCGTGCCTTCTCTCCCCTTCAGCCCTTCTTCCATGAGTCCCAGAATGGAACAATGAGCAGTTTGTGTGAATGAGCGTTTCCTTTTTCATCCTCTAACCAACGGGGGTCACCACTGCTTTTTGAATCAGAGCACCTCTCTCACCAACCTCCCCTCCCTCCTTATTGAAATTTTGCTCCGGCTGTGTGAGGTGGCTCTCTTGTGTGCTCTCTTTTGTGTAACAGCTGGCTTTTCTCTTATTTACAGGTGTTCTGTTTGTGTGTGTGTGTGTTGAAAGAGTTCTTTGCGATTAGGTGCCAAGGAATGGTACAAAGGGGAACTAATCTTGCGGGTTGTGGTGAAAACACTCCCCCCGTAACTCATTCCTGTCTTGTCTCGTGTGTGTGTTCGCAGGCCGGGAAGAAGGCGGTGCGAGCCGTGCTGTGGGTGTCGGCGGACGGTCTCCGAGTGGTGGACGACAAAACAAAGGTAACCGGTCCCTTCCGTCTTTCCGGGGGCAGGTCGGGAACGACTCTGATGTGAGAAAGAGCAGCCGAGGTGGAACGTGGATTGGGTCTAATCACCTCCACGGCGGGTGCATGGAAGCACATGCAGTGGGTGGGTAGGTACCCACCACACCAAGGGCCACGCTGACATCTGCTGGGGATGTGGGGTACTGCGCCGAATACAGACGGCCGGAGGGAACCGTGCGAGCAGGATTTGTGGCCTCTGCAAAGCTGCTCCTCTGAGAACCAAAGAGAACAGAAACCTGTTTATTCTATTGAACAGTGCAGACTCTGCAAGGCAAAGTACGGGGCACGCGGTTTTTGCAGAGTTGCATGTTCACCCAGAGCTTTGGAGCACATGACTAGCACATTTGGCGGCAGACCTTTTGATCGTTTTAAAGAGAGCTTAAGTTTTGATTAGAAAACAACTGAAGAAGACAGTTGAAATTTGGGAATCCTTTCCTTGGAGAGGCATTAGCATGATCAGCTCTGATTCAGTTTGACTTTGTTTTTATTTTAACAGGACCTAATTCTTGACCAGACGATAGAGAAGGTGTCGTTCTGCGCTCCCGACAGGAACTTTGAGCGGGCGTTTTCCTACATCTGCAGGGACGGCACCACGCGGCGCTGGATCTGCCACTGTTTCATGGCCATTAAAGACTCTGTAAGAACTAATTTCATGGCTGGCGTAAATGACAAATGGCTGAAGACGGCTCCCGCCGTGGAGGGAAAAATCTCATGTCACCTTTCAGAGCCGATACTGTTGAATCATAGAATTAGTCCTCCGTAGTAGTAAACGATGACCACAGCACAGCGTCTGATTCAGAGGTTTGGATGTGACCCTTGCAGGGGGAGCGCCTTAGTCACGCCGTGGGCTGTGCGTTCGCCGCTTGCCTCGAACGGAAACAGAAGCGGGAGAAGGAGTGCGGGGTCACGGCAACCTTTGACGCCAACCGAACCACTTTCACTCGTGAGGGCTCCTTTCGCGTCACCACGGCAACAGAGGCGGCGGAGCGGGAGGAGGTCATGAGGCAGCTGCAGGATGCCAGAAATGGTTTGTTGTTGAAACCTGGAACACTTTTTTTTTCTTCCATTTTTAGAATCTTTCTATGGTGTTTCCTCATTTTTTTTCTCTTTGTTTTATTCATCAGAGGCGGAGGCGATGGTCAGCGTGAGCCTGGCCAACAGCGTGGCCAGCCCCTCAGTGCACCACACCGGCGGCTCCCCGTCGCCCACGTCCTCCCCGCCTCTGTCGGCGGCCACGCTGGGGCCTCAGGTGATCCCCCGCAGGCACGCGCCGGCCGAGGCGCTGGCCAGGCAGGGCTCCTTCCGAGGCTTCCCCGTCCTCAGCCAGAAAACGTCTCCGTTCAAACGGCAGCTGTCGCTGCGCATGAACGAGCTGCCCTCCACCATGCAGCGGAAATCCGACTTCCCCATGAAGAACACAGGTGACGTGTGCAGTTCGGGGGTCGCCGGGTTAGAATGGAGGCCTTATGTCCCAGTAGTGTCGGCCTGTTTTTCTAAAAAGGATGTCGCTCATGATGATGCCTTGATCAAATCCCTTTTAGACCATTCAAAACATTCAATCAGTAAGGGACTGGCTAATTGATTAGCTTTCAGGTTGTGTCAGATTATAGAAATAGCTTTCACCCGTGTCAAAGATTGACGGATCAGCTACGTTTATACTCCCTTTAATGTGTATCATCTCATAAGCATTTTCCCAAAGCATTGTTTTATTACAATTTAGTGACTCCTGCCTCTTTTCGTTCTAATCACGTAGTCCCTGAAGTGGAAGGAGAAAGCGACAGCATCAGCTCGCTGTGCAGTAAGATCACCACAGCTTTCAGCGGGCCCCCAGAGGACCCCTTCTCCTCGGCTCCAATGCCCAAACCGGCCTCATCTCCGCAGTCTCCCGTGGCTCCAGGTAACACCCGCTCGTGTCTAGATGGACATCTGCAATCTGGCATTTGCCTCGGTAAACTGATATCTTAATGAAAAATCCACGTGACAAGCTTTAGTTAAAAATAAAAACACTCACATTAAAAAACAGCTCAGTGGCTATTTTTATTTATTTATTTATTTTTCTGATTTTGGAGCATGGGCAGGACCCATGACCATCCACTTTTCTGTTTGCATGGCCTGCCTCTTAACCTCTGAACCCCATTAACCTCTGAAGCGTGTTAAAGGCTTCATCAAACTCTGAACCACACACAATACATTGAAATGTTTAACTGCACGGCAACACTTTGCACGTCAGATCAGTCTCCATCCGCACGAGCACGTTGTTTCTAGCTTCTGTCTCTCTTCTGCTGTAGTGAATGGCACCACGCCTGCCTTCCCTGTTGCCGCTATTCCTAACCCCACAGCCCTACCCCCTGCTCTTCCCGCCCGAGACACTAACCCCTGGGCTAAGAGCCCGGCGGGGGCCCCGGCCTCTGCTCAACCAGGTAAGCAGTAAAGAGGACTTTTCCCGTTTCCTTTAGATCGCATCCTTCTGATGTGACAACCAGATGTTTCCAAGTGATTCAAATCATGTTTCAGAAGTGTTGTCGTTATTTCCTCGCACAGGAAGCGAATGGGCTTCGGCCACACCGGAGATCGCCCCCCGCACGTCGTCACCGGTCATGCCCTCTCACAAACGCACGCCGTCAGAAGCAGACCGATGGTTAGAGGAAGTCACCAAATCGGTCCGAGCCCCGCAGTCCAATCCAGTGATGGCGGGGGGCACGCCCCCCTCCCAGCCCTTCATCACGCCTGCGCCGATGCCCGTGGCGTCCGTTCCCTCTGTCGCCCAGGTGGCCTTCATGCCTTCTCTGCCCCCCGCCGTGCCCATGCTGCCCCCCCGTCAGCCTGCTTTCCACGCCCCGGCGCCGGCCCCGGCCCCGGCCTCCTACCCGGTGTCCAACGGGCTGCCGTTCCCTCAGCCCAGCGTGCCCGTCTTCGGAATCACTCCCTCTCAGATGGTGGCCAACGTGTTCGGCTCGGCCGCGCAGCCCCTGCCGTTCCCCGTCCCGCCGGCGGCCGCACCCCAGCTGGACGCCCAGGCCGTCGCCCACCTCAGCCCCTTCATAAAGCCCCCGCCGTCCACCGCCATGAGCCCCGCCCCCCTCCAGCCCTTCAACGGCAGCGCCACCTTCAACGGGGCCGACAACTGGGCCGCCGCCGCCCCCCCTCACGGCGCCCAGCCCGCCCCGCCGCCGCAGCAGGATGCGTTTGAGGCCCAGTGGGTAGCTCTGGAGGGCCGCTCGCGCCAGCACACCACGCCATCACCCACAAACCCCTTCTCCACCGAGCTGCAAAAGACCTTTGAGATCCAGCTCTGAAGACTGTACCTACAGAGAACCAGATGAAAGGGACTCGGAAAGAACGGGGGGAGGGGGGGGGTTATTGGCCACAGAGAAGGTGGGACCGCCCCTCTGCCCGGCCTCCTGTGCTTTAATGGACAAACTCAGCAGGCAGGGGGGGGGGGGAAGACGGTGGAGAGCAGCTGGCGAATCAACGGGGAGCAGAGCTCTGCGTGGCAGTGAAAGAATAAAAAAAAAATAGAAAAAACAGCTCGCGAAAAACAGGTTTCTGTTAACGAGGGCGCAGCTCCCAAGGCATCTCATTAGCATCAGCTGTAACGTTTTGTTTGTGCTTCGGAGTGCGAGATTGTCATCACCCTGTGGAGTATCTGTGCAGCCTCACCCAGCCCATCTCACCCCGGGCCCCGGCCCCCGGCCCCTGGCCCCCCGGGCCCCGGCTCCACGTGCCCCCTGTTGGCAGAAGGAGACCTCCCACCACCTGGCAGAGGAGCCACAGCACTGAGAGGCGAGAGGTTCTCCTTTCTAACCTCCTAATTCTAAGACTAGAGTGAGACAATGCCAAAATCTTTATTTTTATGCATTAAATATATTTTAAATAGCTTTGGAATCTAACAGAAGAGTTGTAAGTAATCTTGCCAAAGGCACAGGCTAGCAACAATGAAACAAGTTTATGTTCCTGTGTACAAGGAATGACCGTATATATTATACATAAATATATAAAAAGATATATATATATATCTATAAAGAATCTTTACTGTACACACGGCTGACAACAGTGCTAATTTTTAATGTGATGTAAAGAGTTTTTTGTGAAGGGACAGCTGCTTTACTTGTTCCCTTCCCTCCCCCCCATTTTTGAAAAAAAAGAAAAAAGAATCTTTATTGGCGTCTGTTGCATCCTGTGATTGGATGCGAGGCATCGAACCTTAAATAGGATTTCATTGCAGCAACAATCAGTGTGGACCTAAGCATTGGTGGCGGTGCCTGTGCTTCGATCTGGATAGTTTAGTACACAGCAGTACTTAACATTTGACTTCTTATGTTCTTTTCTTTTTCCTGCGATAATGTTTCACTGTTTTTTTTTTTGTTTTTTTATCACTATTTAACACAGTAGGATGCAACGTTCCTGTTTCAACATCTCTCCAATTGTTTTTTTTTTAGTTTTTTTTTTAGTTGCTGATTTTTAATGTTATATTTTGCACAAGCACTACAGTAGATGATTGGACTTCACAGGTGATCTCGATCAGCACGGGAGGCCGCATGCTCGTCCTCCATTGGCCTGCCGTGCTGCTGAGGGGCGGCAGAAAATAGCAGGGAGACGAGATGGTCTCATCGTCTCATTTCCCTCTGTCATGTTTTTATTCTTTTTCTTTTTTTTTTAATCAAACCTGTGAATACGATCTATTCTCTGATCTATTTTTTTTTCCATTTTGTAATTATTTCATTTCTTTATTCCAACTCTTTGGAGAAGCAGTGAAGCTCAAAGATTGAATAAATTCATGGTGGTAGAGGACAAAGCTGTCTGTGTTGTTGCTTTCAGTCAGCGCGCAGCTGAAGGAATTCGTCATTCTGTCCAGTTTCATGTTTTAACTGAGATGATTACCGGTTTCAAGCTCTTCACTTTAGAATGTATTTTTCTCCATCCATCCATTATCGTAACTAATTTTTCCCTAATGGGGTCGTGGGGAGAACTGGAGCCTATCCCAGTGGTCAATGGGCGAGAGTACACCCTGGACAGTACATCGCAGGGCCACACAGACACACAAGGACAAACAACCACACACTCGCTCCTAAGGGCAGTTTGGAATGTCCAATCAACCTAATATGCAGGTTTTTGGACGGTGGGAGGAAGCCGGAGAACCCATGCAGGCACAGGGAGAACATGTAAACCCCACACAGAAAGGTCCTGGGTCGAACCCAGAACCTTCTTGCTGTGAGGCAATGGTGCTAACCACCACACCCTGTCTTTTTCTCTGCTAATTCTTTTTTCTGTGACTGTAAAGTCAGCAATATTCTATTCAAGGCCGATTTTTGTTGGTCACATGGGATTAACACAAATATACTGCATGACCAATATAAATGATTGAAAACAGATTTTTTTTTCTCCAAATAAGTTTATTCAAATGTTGTTGAAAGATTTAACAAAAGAAAAACTTTTTTTTTTAAATGTATAAGCACATGCCAACGACTTTAGGATAAGTGTCCCATTCATTTAAGGTCTACGTGTTGGTTCATCCCCCCCAGCAGGGGGCGCTGGCCGCGGCGCCGCTCTCCTGCCTCAGCACGGTGCTAATAAATGCAGCCCGGAAGACATGTATCAGTGCAGCAAACAAGTGGACATGGGTGTGAAAGTGGCGTCTTTTCGTGTAAAGACGTGAAGGTAAGGTGGCGTATCGGGCAGCACGCGCAGGTGCCTCGTGCCAGAGCTGCACTCTCAACACAGCGACGACCAGAAGGCTAGCTTTAGCAGCCCCAGGGTTAGCGCTAGCCAAGCTAACGTCGGCTTAAGTGAATGGGGAAATTAAGCAGGGATGCTGTGAGAATTGCCCCGTGTCTATTTTGTGACTTTTCAAAGCCTAAGCTGTGTTGGGTTTGGCGCAGTCAAGCTTCGCCTTCGGAGAGGTGTTTGTTTTTAGGAACAGCTTTACGCTTACTTAAGTGAGGTCTGTGAACTCGTTGACTCGTAGGTTAAATCTTCAGGAGCCTCGGTGGACTTCTGTACGGCTAAGTCTCTGCCTTGGTTTCCGCAGCAAAATGCCAATTACCTCCAGGCTACCGACAATTTCTCGTTTTGTTGTTCGAAACTATCTTACTACCTCGTTATCCAAACTTTCTCACACGGACTCACATTCAGGTACTCATGCTGAGTGCCTTCCTTCAGGTTGGTTACAATTCTACACGCTGTTTAAAAAAACCCAAGCCATTTTCATGTTACAATCGATGTCTACACGTCGTACAAGTGTTGCTTTATATACCTTTAGATGCTCGAAACCTTGCGTTGTATTTGGCTAACCTTTTAAGTATGGGTCGTTACAACCTGTTCTGTGGAATGAGTGGCTCACTCCTCTAGCTTCCTGTTAGATAATTAGTCAAATATGTAAGAAGCTTATTTATGAACACAGGTATGAACTTGTCTTTTCTTTTTTTTAAATCCAGAGATATGCAGAGTCTCCCGGTGCCACAGAAGCAAAGCTGGGCTTAAATGGAAGCTCGGCGTCACGGGAAAAGTAAGAGTCCCCAAATGAACTTGGTCGCAGCCTTTCAAAATCTGTTCGCGAGATAATTTTTTTTAATTGTTTGAAATTTTTTTTCAAGGTGTGAGCTTTTCGGTCCGTTTTCCTATCGCTGCGAGTCGACGTCATGTCCCACCGCGGGCCCCTCGCCGCGGCCATAACCACCGTGCTGGGGGCCGCCCTGGGGGGGCTGCTCGTGTGGCGAGTGTACCGAACCAAACGGAAGAAGCTGCCCTCCGTCCAGAGGGCGGCGGAGCCCGCGGAGCCCCCGCGCTCCTCGGAGCCGTTCGCCGGCGTGGAGCCTCAGCCCGACCCGCCGCCGTGCCTCGCCGCCGAGAAGGAGTTTAGGACCGCGGAGTGTCAGACCGCGAAGGCGCCCGCCCCCGCGCAGGTCCCGTGGTCCCACCGGCTGCTGGGGGTCCAGCCGGTGACCGTTAGCTCCGAGGAGGAGTGGAAGCAGCTGTGGCCCCAGGTGCAGAGGGACTTGTCGGTCCTCCCCGTGCTGGGGCTGGACTGTGAATGGGTAAAGACTGAAGGCGTAAGGACTAGCTTTTGCATGTTTGCGCACCAGTTAAAAGGTCAAATCCACCCTAAGTCTCAGGTTTTTTTTTTGGGCTTTTGCTCTTTTAAAAAAAGCGCTGGCTCCGCAGCACCAAAACACAAGCCCCTGATTGATAGCGGCTTAAAAAACAAACAAATCCTGACCGGGTGGAGTTTTCCTTCTCAATCACGGCGCTCTCTCAGATGTGCTTCGCCCCGGCCTGACCCGGCTGCCTGGTGTTGGTGCAGGTGTCGTCCAAGGGCCGGCCCAGCGCCGTGGCCCTGCTGCAGATGGCCACCCACTCGGGCCTGTGCGTCCTGGTGAGGCTGCTGGCGTTCGGCGGCGGGCCGCGGCCGTTCCCGCCGGGCCTGACCGACGTCCTCGGAGACCGGCACGTTCTGAAGGTGGGCGTGGGCTGCTACGAGGACGCCAAGCGCCTGGCACGCGACTACGGCCTGGCGCTGACGTCCACGGTCGACCTGCGCTTCCTGGCGCTGAGACGGAGGTACGGTCCGGCCGCCCGGCCCACGCCTCGGCTGTGGACGCTGGCTGTAAGCTGTCTGTCCCACTTTTAGGCAAACCTCTGTGACCAATGGCCTCAGTCTGAAGTCCTTGGCGGAAGACCTGTTGAACATATCTCTGGATAAATCTTTAGAGCTGCGCTGCAGCAACTGGGAGGCGGATGAGCTGACACTGGAGCAGGTAGCTCCACATTCTCTCCAGGAACCGATAAGGCGGCAGGAAAAAAACTGTAGTTCTCTGAGAGGAGCGTCTTCTCTGACTGACGCATTTGTGCCCTCTCCAGATGGCTTATGCAGCCAGAGATGCCCAGGTCTCCATCGCACTCTTCCTCCACCTCCTCGGCCTCCGGTCCGAAGCCGGTCCGGCCCCCCCCAGCGGGAGCACCTTCTCCGAGCTGGCCTCCCACTGCCAGGGCCTGGTGGACGTCCCCTTCAGGGGCCGGGGGGAAGGAGTGGAACGCGACGGCGAGAGGAAGAGGCGGATGCGCAAGCCGGCGGTTTACGAAAGTCCCGAGTCTGGAGATCAGCAAGTCCCAGACCCTCGGAAGAACAGCAAAAGAAAACCGCTGGGCGTTGGCTACTCTGCCAGGTGTGAGGAGGACGGAGAGAGGGGAGGGGAGGGGGGGGGGCAGCCCAGGATGGCAGACTGATTCCCACTGTGGAGCTGAGTTGACGCTTTTCTCTCTTCTGCTTCCTGTAGGAAGTCTCCCCTCTACGATAACTGCTTCCTCTACGCACCCGACGGCCAGCCTCTGTGTACCTGTGACAAGAAGAAAGCCAAGTGGTACCTCGACAAAGGAATCGGAGGTGAAAGGGATCACTTTTTCTGCTCCATCAGCCATTCTGTGGCTTTCTTCCTCCGCGTGCAGCTTCCAAACGCCTTTTGGCCTCTGATCAGGGTTGGCCGGTATCCAAATTCTGATACCTTCACACCTTTACGGTATGACCGTGACTAATTAATCTGGCAGTCACCTTTTTATTACATCATTTACATATTGCCTCGTCAGTATTTACTGGCTCTCCCTTCTCATTCGTTCGAAACCCAAAATATTGCCAGTCTGCAGAACTTGTGTCCTTCCTGATGACGAGGTCACTCGGTGTGCGACTGGCCGTCTTGCTCTTGCTCTCTTTTACACGCCGTCACGTGACGGCGTCGCGTTGATAAAACTTTTATCAAAAGTGTCACTACTAAAACAGAAAATTCGCCCACATAATAGGGCTGCGTGACATAGAATCATATTTAGGCATTGATTTAATTATATCTTTTATTTAATCCTTATCTCCTATATTAGCGCATTCTTTTTTTATTTTTTTTATTTTATTTTATTTTTTCTTTACCACGGGTTGTGAAAGATGCCTCCAGAATACTTAATTACTGTATTGCTGCCCAACCCTAATGCTGATGACGTATAGGTCTCACAACCAATTTTTCAAAGTTGAGAATGTATTTATCATTTCTTTATGTATTTATCCTTTTGGAGTACCAGCTTCTACTAGGAAATCTGTGACCCGGTCTTTGTGTGACAGTGCTCCAGAGTGAGGATCCCTTCATCGTGAGGCTGCTGTTTGAGCCGTCGGGACGCCCCGACTCTCAGCAGGACTACTATCTGACCGCCAAGGAGAACCTCTGTGTGGTCTGCGGCAAGGCGGATTCCTACATCAGGTCTGACGGCGCCGCCCCTTTGGCGGCCGCGTCCACTTAAACCGGCCGCGTCGAAACGAGTTCCTCATGAGCTTTTTTCCGACTCTCCCCCCGGCCCCTCAGGAAGAACATCGTCCCGCACGAGTACCGGCGGCATTTCCCCACCGAGATGAAGGACCACAACTCCCACGACATCCTGCTGCTGTGCACCAGCTGCCACGCCGCCTCCAACGTGCACGACGGCTTCCTGAAGCAGCAGCTGGCCGAGGAGTTTGCCGCCCCGCAGGGGTGCGAGGAGGGCGTCCGGCTGCTGGAGGACTCGGACCGCCGGCGGGTGCGCTCGGCGGCCCGGGCCCTGCTCAGCGCCGGCGAGGGCCTGCCGGAGCGCCGGCGCGGCGAGCTGCAGGCGCTCATCCGCAAGTTCCTGGACCTGAGCGAGGAGCAGGAGCTGACGGAGGAGGTGCTGCGGCAGGCCGCCGGCCTGGAGACCAGGTGAGCCCCGCCGAGAGCCCGCGCGCCCAAAGGGGCCGCTCGTACGTTTTCTGCGGGCCGATCCCGGTCGGGGGATGTTAGGCGGGCTTCCGTCCGCCCGCCCGGCCGACTTTGTAACCGCTCCTCTCGTCTCCCGAAGGATTTTAAACGAGGCCTACGTGCCTCACGGCCTGAAGGTGGTGCGCGCCCACGCCGGCCAGGGCCTGCGGGGCCTGATGGGGCTGGAGCGCCGCTGGAGGCAGCACTTCCTCACCACCATGCAGCCGCGCCACCTGCCGCCCCTCTGGTCCGTCGACCACAATCACGGCAAGTTCCTCCGCAAGTACGGCGAGGACCTGCCCATCCACCTCAACTGAGTGCGGACGGGTCGGCGCGTCCAGGAGCTGGATTCGAGTCTCCACTGACATTTCAGTAATTATGCAACCAGAATAGTTTCCTTCCTCCCTTTTTATTTTTTTTTGTCGATTTCCTTCCTGGGTGATAAATACACTAATCCAGCAAGCAGGACAGCGATGTTGCCAGGAAGACAACATTTCAGCCCCCCCCGTGAGATGAACTTAATGATCTCCAGCCATGGAGAGAGAATCCAACTCTGACTCTGAAACTCTGGAACCGTGATGGGTGATGTGACTGCATATGGACACTTTATTTTAGAATCATGAAGTATAGTTATTTATGAACACAAAGGAACCTGTGAAACTGAGCTGATTTTTAGAAAAAGCTACCGCCTGCTCTTGATTTCCTCCATTTAAATGACCCCCCCCTTGCAGGTTGGCAGCTGATCACCTCCATTAGTCTGATAACGATCTGCTCTGCAGAGACGGGGTTGTTTTGATATGAGCTTTAATATTTTCGTGCTCCGACCTGTCTTATTTATTTAAGGTCGGTAAATGAAACCCCAAAAACATCTTGAAACCAAGCTTCTTTTTCTTTCTTTTTTCTTTGGGAAACTAAGCGTGGTCAAGGTGTGTTCGGGGCCTTAATGTGTTCTATCTCTGTTGTTTTGTGTAACTTATTTGGCACCAGCAGAGCAAAGTTGGCACCCTTCGGTCAATCATTTAAACTAGTGATGTCAACGTCCCGCGGCCGACTCTTTCCCCCCCATTAGGTGGGACACCTCCATGGCTCATGTTTTAATGTGCCTCTTAAAGCCCCCGCCTGGGTGGAGGAGGAGCGGCACGCCGCTGGGGCGTGGCATCGTTTCAATTAAAAAAGCAGTTCACCAAGACGTCATTAGACTCAATTCAAATGCACATTCAAGAAAAGATGCCAACTTTTGAGGTGATGTCAACTCTGACCGAGACCCCCTTTGCAAAGCAGAGCACGGTAAATTGAGAATTAGGAATTTAATTAAATTATTAAATCAGCTGCTTTAAACTTGAGCGTGAAAGCTATTCTCCAAACTAAATGTGAATAAAATAAATAAAAACGTTTGTACTAATGCTCCGTGGCTCGTTTTGTTCGTTCACACACTTCTACAGCATCGTCCAAACCCCCCCCCACCCCCAAAAATGGGTAGAAATGCAGTTTGTTTTTATTTATTTTTATTTCTTACAAAATCACAGTTTAATAAATAGTCTGTAAAAATGAGTACAAAAGTGGTTTTCTTAACATTTCATATATGAATCACTCATGACTCGTTTCATGACAGTCTTTAGTTGGACTTTTTTTTTTTTTTGTCAGGAAAGACACTTTTTTTGTTTGTTTTTTGTTGTTTTCTTACAATCTAGTGTTGCTGAATTAAGGCCTCTTGATTTTGGCATCAGAACAATCTGTCAGTCGAATGTTTTTTTTTTTGTATCTGAAAGTTGAATTCGTGTAACATTATGAGCTCCTCTGGTTTCACAGTTCAGTCAGGAAAATTAAATAAAGCACATTTACAAATAAATAAAAATGGCTCAACATGCAGGATCCCTTAGGTCTAACGGTCAGTGTTTGACACTGCAACAACAACAATGGCACATGAGGCTACTTCATCCAAGGGGACTCCATCAAAAGCTGACTTCTCAAATCGCGAGTGCATGACGTACAAATGAGAGAAAACTTTGGGGAAATCTAAAAAAATAAATGGCATATTGTGGTGGAATTCCCCTTAAGAAGTTTAGCGGTGAGTGCAAGAGAGTGCAATCATGTTTGATGAAAGACGCTGACATCTTTACTGCATTACGCTGGAACCTCTCCTGATGGAAACACACCTGGAGATCCGGTCAGTACTTTTTATTTTATGATTTTTTAATTATATTTGGACGACTCGAAGTAAAGAATTTAGGTAAATATTACATTTCAGCAAGCCCATGGTGCTAGGTTTGTATTTAAAAAAAAAAGCAAACTCAATAGCTAGCGTTTTCCGTAAAATTTGTTTCTGTTGCCTGAAAAGCACTAAAATTGGTGTCTATAGATCCCCAGTGTGTGTCCATCAGCATTATACAGAGCTTCAACACTAAATTACTGCATATTAAAACTCCTTTTGTTCACCTAAACAAAAGACAATTTCTGACAATACTTAAAAGAAAAAAAGACATGATTCAAGAAAAGGAATTTTCAGTTTAGCCCCAAATTTCAAGATGTTTCTTTTTTCTCTAAACATCCGATGTTACAATTGGAATAAACATGTCCATTAGCAATTCCTTCAAAAGATACATTATATTGACAGTAAGGCATTTTCTGCACCTTTCCAGCTCGAAATATTTAAGTTTTTTTTTGCCGCCTTGTGAAGTTGTGTTCGATATGTCAGTTATAAACTGTCCTGCAGCAGACTTTAAGAACTCAGTCTGTTGAATCTGGAAATAGTTTGAAAAGCAAAGCTATGCTAACATCTACTAAAAATTTCTATCAAATTTCTCAGCTCTCGCAGAATATGTAATGGCCTTAAGCTTAAGTCCATCGGGCATAGAGTTAGCCTTACTGGCTAGCTTCGTGTTGAGCTCTACGAATATACAGTAGAACCTCTACTTACGATTGGCTAAACATACGAATTTTCCAACATCAGAAGTGAAATATGATCAAATATTGGACTGGACACCCGAAGTAAATTTTGACGTCAAAGTCATAGAAAAAAGAAATTTAGAAATTAAATAGAAATAAATAAGTTAAGTTAGTTTAAAGTTCTTGTAGTGAAAGTCAGAGTAAGTTCCGGTAGGTTCTGTATCTCATTCACCACCTCACCTCTACGTTCGCCATTCTCTAAGGTAAAGTGCCAATAAACCCCCCTTTTTATTGATTATTTCTTTATAATTTATTTCTTTTTACATGTCTTTCATATAATGCATTTGTTTTATCGCTATGTGTAATTATCTGCAGTATTTGTTAAGGAGTTATTGTAGCTTTTGGGGCTGGGGAACGAATTATAAGAATTACAGTGTATTCTAATGGGAATATTTTAACCAACATACAAATATTTTAACATACGAAGTAGGTCCCGGAACAAATTGAATTCGTATGTAGAGGTTCTACTGTATAAGAAAATACATATTTCAAATTTGGCACTGGATTTCTTTAGGCTTTTCTCACACATTTTTGCTCCTCAATTTAGACCGGTTTAGACCGGTTGACATAGTTGACTTGCTAGCCAACCATTAGACAAACAATGACAGGAACCAACAGAGATTTGTCCCAAAAAATCTGTTGCTTCTTAAAGTGACAAAATTAATTCCATAACAGCTTGGTCCTAAAGTGAAATGGTAAGAAATTCACAATGTGTAGCAAATTATATCCTTCCAATTTGAGATGTTTTAAAAAAATGCTAAAGAGTAGCTTCTCCCTTAGCTCAACTGCTAAAAATTTTCCCATATCCTCCAAACTGAGGGCAATTTCCAGATACCTAACTCACTATCTACTGTATCTACTGCAGGGAAGTCACTTAACTGTTTCAGGTACCACAACCTCATCTTTTAAAGTAGAAAAAAAAACAAAAAAATGAATGTTTAATGTTATGGAGTTAGTTTTGTGCCTTAATATCGGAGTGACCAATGATATTTCAGACCCCTGTGCTGAGTTGAATATTAAAGGAAGGATATACCAGAGTAACAACTCGGATTAGTCAGAAAACCATCCATCCATTATTATTCCCTAATGAGGTCGCGGGGGGATAGTCAGAAAACCAGTATACATAAATTATTAGAATGGCAACAAACTTTAGGATTTTAAACGGGGCACGCCGCAGTGGTTAGCACCAACGTCTCACAGCAAGAGGGCTCCTGGTTAGAGACCGGGAGCTATCTGTGTGTGGTTTGCATGTTTCCCCTGTGTCTGCGTACTCTGGCTCCTGTCCAAAAACATGCATGTTGGGTTAATTGGACCCTCTAAATTGCTCCTAGGAGGGCATATAAGCATGTGGTTGTCTGTCTGACTGGTCACCTGTCCAGGACGCAGCCCGTCTCTTGCCCGTTGTCGGCTGGGATAGGCTCCACTAACCCCGTTGGGAATGGGTAAGATAAACAATGGATGGACGGTGGGATCTTAATCAAGGATTGAACGATAACTCTTTCCCTCCAGTCTCCACATTGCATACTAAAGGCACAAAAGTGACTCCATATCACTCTAACCAACCCAAACGCATTTCCAATCCATATTACAACCCTTAAAAAGCATTTTGTAACATTTTGTTTTCTATTTCACCTCCCAGGTGATAACCCACTAGGAACATTTTGCACACCTTTCATGAAGAGGGCTCTTCCAACTAACGCAACTCCTTGAACATTTTCACGTGGGACAGAATTCACGCATTTTCGCAAAGACCGATAAGATTGTCATGTTAACACAAGATGTGGCGAACAAAACAAAAAAACATTGCATGAAAAATCCATTTTGGCCCAGCAAGCTGCGAACCAGCGACTCAACGAAAGAAGACAAAGCTAAACGGGAAGCGGACGGTTCCTCGAGTTTCTATTTTTTGTTCTTTTTGGTCAAAGGCTGTTTGACGATGCAGAGAGGCTCACGCTCTGTACGGTCAGCTGGGCGTTTTACTTTCCGAAACTGGACATTTTTCATGGTCATCGATGCTTACAAGTCACCTTTGAAGCCCTTGGAGCTTGTTAAAAAAACAAAATGACACGACTAACCAACTCTGGGTCTGCTGACATATCAAGCATCTATCATTCCTGAAAAATCTATCTTTGTTTTTCGTCCAGTGACAGTGAAAAGGAAGGAAAAAGGTTCCCTCCACTTCGTCCCCCCCTCACCACCAACAACCCAAACTTATTATTGCTTGCCTGTTAATACATACAGTAAGGGAAACCATCTTTGTCTCAGACATCAAACGGAAAACTCTGAATATTTCGTTGTCAAGACTCATGCAAGGGTCCGAACTTTCAAACTGATGCGGGGATAGACACTGGGTGGACGTTTGCTGGTGTATTCAGGATGTACCAAGTCACAAATTCTTTGGAGTTTCATTCATTTGGCCGAGATGACGGAGCGTGTGGGATCTCCGGTCCCCGTAAAGCAGGGTGCACGAGCCCCGCGGACCGAAAACCGAAAACACACACGCGTGCGCGTCTCGAACATTCGCTGCCTTTTTTTTTTGTCGACACGGAACACAATTGGCACGGATTATCAAAATAAAATACCCTGGAAGCTTGGCACTATGCAGAAACGGACGAAAAAAAGGAAATCACAATTTCCAAAGAAATCTTATAGAAAAGTATTGAATAATCTCAGTCTACTCCACGTTTTCATTAGCCTCACTATTACTTATATACTATATGCTGATGAAGGTTACACCAGTGTCGTAAACCTCTGAAGGACTTAACTACCACTGAAACAATATAGCTCCTATTCAAATAGATTTTTTTTCTCACAAACGTACATAAAAAATGAAATATCTAACACCTATCGGACTATAGATAGTGCTGTTGTCTGGTATGCATCTCTTTATAGTGCCTCTTCGTTTTTTTTTTTTTTTGTTTTTTTTTGCCCACAACCCCCCCCCCCTTTTCACTTTCAGATAACCAGTTTAGGGAAAAAATCCGAAGCCCTTCTGGGGAAAAGATCAGAAGACTAGTTCGCTTTCCTGTCTTTTTGTATCCGCGCAAAAGGGGCGCTTTACCTCACAGGTGACCCTCCAGGATGCTGGTGACGGCCTGGTCCAGCGGGGGGCCCGGGGCGGCCCTGCCGGGGGCCGCGGGGGGGCCCTGCAGACGCTGGAGTTCCAGGATGCTGTCGATGGCGCTCTGGAGATGCTCACTGAGCATGTGGTCCTCCTGGAGCGCCGGCGGCGGCGGCTGCTGTGGCGGCGGAGGCGGGATGCGGCGCTGCTCCGGCCGAGGCGACGCGTCCGGCCTGTAGCATTTCAGTTTGGGGGCGCTGGCGTCTCGGGGAGGCAGCTCGAAGGGAACGTCCGGCGGTTCCGGCGCGGGCCGGGGCAGCGGGGCTTTCGTTTTGGGACTGGCCGGAAGGGCAGGCTGCCCGCCAGCACCGCCGGACAGAGCCCCGTTGGACATTTCGTCGCGCTGAGGGCCCTTCGGGGCCCCCTCGGACGTCTGCGAGTGGCCCTCGTGCGCGGCTTCCCCGCCGTTGGTCAGCTGGCCCGTGTGGTCCCTCTTGACCCCCGAGTCGCAGGCCGAGTTGTGGATGACCTTCCGGGAGCCGGACTCCTGCTTGATGGTGAGTCTGAGGGCCCCGCGGGAGCTGGAGCGGTACGTCTTGAGCCCGGGGGGGCGCTCGGACAGCCGAGTCCAGGCCGGGGGAGAGGAGGGGCTACCGGAGGAGCACGGGTGGGAGGCGGCTGAAGGGTGGTATCTTTGTGGGGAAGACGCGGATGTAGCCAAGGCTGCCATGAAAGTTTCTGGAACATTTGGACACAGTAAAACTGCAACATGGATCAAAATGTACATAGTTAATGCAATCTTCCTAATTCATCGGAATGAAATGTGATATAATTTCTTAGCAATTTACTCCCATATTTGTATCTTATTCAAAGGGAACAACTAAACTATTTCCAACTGAACACCGCACAAGCTTTAAGTTTCGAATCAGAAGGACAAGGTAAAATGAGAGAAGCTAAGAAGAGGAAAATAAGTGACAGATGTGTTAGAGAACAGATGTTTTCTCAAGAGAGGAACCTTGCAGCATTTGGTGGCTCATTCTGTGTGGGGATGGCTCCATTATGTGGTGCTCCCACATACTGCGCAGTATTCAAGAAGCAGCAGAAGCCAGTGTTGCTGAGTTCAGTATCTTGGTAGCTTGCTTTAAAATGATAATTTTTTTACGCAATAATCCTTTTAAATTATTTTTTTAAAGAAGCATTTATCATATAAATACAGAACACCGTCCTCAAATGACAGATTCGATATGAAAAACGATGAATTTGACTCATTAGTAGAAGGTTATTATTACATTTTGCGATAGTGTAAATTGTTTTTTTATTAATATTCCCTCAGAGGTGTCAGAATAGCAGCCGGTCCTGAGATTTACAAGATTTCACAAGTGTTTCCGCCTTTTTGATTAATGTGCCCGGCTTCGATTTGCACCGAAACTCTGAGATGTCTTTTTGTTTTTCTCCGCTCCACGTTTACGCAGCTTCCTCACACATTCACACCTGGAGGGCTAAGTGCTGCACAGCAAGGAAAAGCTTAGTAAGTTTTGTTTAAAAAGAAGGTGGGGGGGAGTAGTTTTTTCCACAGCTGGAGCACTGACCTGGGTCTCTGCGAGCTCGCCGCCTGTCCTCCGTTAAAGCGTAGCGCTCGGCCTGGAGGAAGAGACGCTCCAGCATCACCATCTCTGCTGACGGGCTCTCCTGCTGCGAAAACCAGGCCGCATCCCATCAGACACGCAGCCCCGGGGGGGGGGGATTTTTATTCCACCCCTAACTACTCTTTTTTTGTCTCTTGATCATAGAATGGATTTCCCCCCAAACGTCTGATTCACCGAAGACCATTTGGTGGTCACTTCATTAGAGAATCCACTCTCCGAGTGGTACGGAAGTGCAGGTGAGAGCTGAAAAGTAAGGGGAGGGGGGGCGTCTCACCTGGGTTTCCCGGACCAGTAGCTGCCTGTATTTGTTGACCATGTCCTTGGTGCGCTTTAGGAGAAAGCCCGAAACGGTGTCGAACTCCTGGTCCACTGTGTGGGGAGGGAAGGGAGGGCGGGGGGCAGTCAGCATACGTCATACGTGCGCAGATACGAGGGCCCGTTCGGACCAAAAATGCTTGGCTTGTGGATGGGTGGATTGGTTGGCCTGACCTAAAGCGAAGTCCTCCGGGGCGGGCCCGCGGCTGGCACAGGTGTGGTAGGGCAGCAGGCGCCTGGCGGCGTCCTTCAGCGTGGCGAACGGCGGGCCCGTGAAGGGGTTCTGCACCGCCCCTTGGTCCATAAGAAGCTGCTGCTGGAATCTGAGGAAAAAACCTGCGTTATCCTGACTGTAACGGACAGATGCGAAGCAGCTGTGAGGGGGGCAGCGTCACTTAATTCCTTTGGAGTAAAATGCAGCCAGCAGATAGAGTTTTCACTTTAACACCTTAAACACACATAAAATCTAATTAAAAATATTTTTTTTTAATTGTAGAGACCCTGGGAGTCTTAGAGGTCTCTTATGGAAGGGAAGTGTGTTAAGCCCATTTCTTACTGGAATAAAACATTAAATGCAGTCGACAATGGGACGGACCAGATATTTAGCAAATGTGAACAGATACCCACATTGTGTCATAAAAACCTCTGACTTCATTCCAATGTATTAATCAATAAGATGAATAAAGCTGGAACTATCTTAGTGCCACCATTCAGCCGAATCCCAGCCCTCAGGACTCTTTAGCTACGCTTCCTTTTCCTTACACCGAGCAAAAAAGAAAAACCAAACGTAGTTCTCACGCCTGTTTAAACAGGAGCTGTCCGGAGTACAGAGCAGAGTGCTAACTCTCACCTGTGCCGGCGCATGGCTGGTGGGAGCCTCTCCTCTCTCTGCTGCTCTACGGGGCCCGCCGGCTGGGGGGGGGGTTTAATGACAAGATCGTTGCATTCATCAGTTAATCACTGAAGCCAGTGCTAAACTTTAACACCGTGGCACGAGACAAACTAAAATAGCCTCTTTTCATTTTGATTTTGATCATTTTCAGATGGGTTACTGATCTCACCTTCTGGATGGGGACAGACTCCACAGGTGGGGGAGGCCCTTGGACGGCGGCGGCCCCCTGGACAGCGGCGGGAGATGGTGGATGGAGGCTGAGAGTAAAGGCTTTACCCTCTGAGGCCAAGGCAGCTGTGGGCTCTGATGCAAGACGCAGAGGACAAAGGGAGGCCGGTCAGTTTTGGAAAAGAGACAGTAACAACACAGGCATCAAAATAGGACTGCCTGTTAGCTGTGACTCACTGTCGTTGGGGTGCGGCTGGACAGCGGAGTCGTCCCCCGCTTTGGAGAGGGCGACGGCCAGCTGAGGCCCCGGGGCCTGCAGAGGGGGCGGGCTGCTGTGGCTGGAGGCCTGAGGCTGGGCAGCGCCCAGCTGGACCGGGGCTTGGGGCACCGGGGCCTGGGCCTGGGGCGAGGTTTGGGTAGCGGACGCCTGAATCGGCGCCTGGTCCGGGGCGAACAGAGCCTGCGGGGCCCGGAGCGGGGGGATCTGGTACTGGACTTTGGGCTCGGTGAGTGGCCGCGGGGCAGAGGACGGAGGCCGGGCGCACTCGGGTCCGAGGGGAGGGACCAGAGGCTCCACCGGAGCCGGCCCGCCCCCGTCCCCGACGGGAGGCGGGGAGCAGCGCAGCTGTGGCTCCTCCGGGTCAGAACGGAGCGGAGAAACCTCCACGCGCTGTTCCGACATCGGCTGGGCGTCCTGACCGCAGACGGCTCGGGCCGGACGCCGGCTCTCCGGGTCAGAGGCCGGCGAGGGGAGCGGCTCCATGGGCACCACCGGCAGCGATCCAACCAGTAACTCAGACGGGATGGGGGAACTAAGTGCTTGCTGTGGTCAGGAAGAAATTAAAGAGGAGCGGTAATGTAGACGCTTTTGTTTGGAGGAAAAAAAATCTGCTGACCGCACTGGAAAGCACTGACCTGCTGCAGATGCTGCATAAAGGCCTGGTTCTGACTCATGGTTTGGGTCACCTCCTCCACCACCTGGTCGAGGTCAGCCGGGGGCATCAAACGTTTGGGCATCTCTGCCGCCGGGTCGGGGGCAAGAGGCCGCTCGGGAGAAGGCGTCAATACGGTAACGGCGGGATGAGGAAGAGCAGGAGGAGGAGGAGGATGAGGAGGAGGGGACCGCAGCCCTGCTGAGGTGGGCTGCACAGAGACATGCTGGACCACGTGGCCAAAGGACTGCGGGGGGGGGGACAACACTGTGTTTAGAAACACTCGTCATGCCTAATGTCAAGTCTCAGACAAATCAAACACAACTATCGGAGATGGAAGGGACCATCTGACCCGTCATAATCCGCTTCCATTAACTGTAACCTCAGAAAGCAGGAGCCCCTCTATAAACCCACCACACACTTCGCCCCGGAAGAAAGACACGTAATTCTAGAGGAGAGACTAGTGCTGTCATCAAGCCATTTACAAACTGCTCGGAGCCCGTCATTGCTCAGGGAAAATGGTCTTTTTCCGGCGGTCATCCCTCAGAGCGGCTGCCACTCTTAACTCCGAATCGATTCCAGGACAGAAGTGCAGACGTGTGACTCACCTGTTGGAGCTGCTGGAAGGCCTCCTCCGGGCTGCCCCTCTCCTCCTGGACGGCCCGCTCGGGCAGCAGCACCACCGAGGCCTGCTGGAGGCCCAGCTGCCCCTCCGCCACGGCCGGAACAGGGGCCGGAGGAGCCGGGGCCGGAGCCGGGGTGGCGAAGGGCAGCCCCTGGACCACCGAGGGGCCGTTCACGATGGAGATGGAAGTGAGGTCCGGGGGGAGCACCCCGGAACTGTTGATCAAGGTGATGTGGTTCCCGAGAGCGGGGCCGTGGACGAGGGTGGCCTGCTGCCCCTGGCCTCCCGGAGCGTACGCTCCGGCCATCTGGAAGACGGCGGCGGGGGCCGACTGGAGCTGCAGAGGTCCAGAAAGCACAGTGGCCTGGCGGAGAGCTAGCTGCCCGGTGGGGGTGGTGAAGACTGGCCCGAAATTCAGCTGCCTTTGGGGAACAGTCAAGATCTGGGAGCCGTCCACGAGCTGGCCGGCGGTGGGGGTCACGCCATGGGCGGACGGGCCGTGGTGGCTGGGGGTCAGCAGAGGCTGAGCGGCCCGGGCCGGCTGGGAGATGGTGACGGGACACTGGCCCGGGAGGAGGAACTGGTTCTGGCCCTGGAAGAGTCCCTGAGGCTGGAGCACGAAAGAGCCCCCCTGGTTGACCAGCTGCAGGCTGACGGGCTTGGCCAGCTGCGGCGGCGGCGGCGGCTGCGGCGCCACGGCCTTCTGGCCCGGGGCCTGGGACAGCAGGATATTTGGCGAGGCGGCCCCGGGGACGAAGGCGAGCCCGGGCGCGGGTTTCTGTCCTGAGGGCTTGGGGCTGATCTGAACCAGTCGGGGCTGGATGCTGACGGGGAGTTTGGGCTGGATGGGCAGCGGGGCGCGCTGCAGGATGATGCCCGGCGCCGCCGCCGCCGCCGCGGCCCTCAGCGTGGGCGCGATGAGGGGCCGGCCGGCCACGGCCTTGTGGATGATCATACTGGAAGCCTGGGCGGGACTCAGGGAGAAGGAGGCCTCTGGAGACGGCGCCGGAAACACGTTCCCGGGCAGCAGGCCCATCAGCTGGGGGGGGGCGGCGGGTTTCAGGGAGGGGCAGCCCGGTCCCACGGCCAGCAGGGAGGGCTGGGGGGGCTCCACCGCCGCCTGCGTGTCCCTGGGCAACGCCGGGGCCACGGGCAGAGTCACAGGCTTGGGGAGGAAGGGCGCGGCGGGGGGAGGGAGCAGCGGGGCGGGCGGGTACAGGGACAGGCCGGCCTCCAGAGCCATGGTGTGCTCGGTGATTTCCGCCTCCTGCAGGCTCTGCTGGAGGATGTCGCACGCCACCTCCGCCGCCGCCGCCTCCTCCTCCGCCTCCTCCTCCACGCCCCCCGCCTCGCCGTCACATCCCGCCTCCACAGGCGGCCCCAGCCGCACAGCAGGCGGGTCCTCCGCCGCCTCGGGAGAAGACAGGAGGGCCTCCTCCAGGAAGGACAGATCCACACAGCCAGGTGGAGGCGTGTTGGGGGAATCCCCGCCGTCTCCCAGCAGAGAGACGGGGCTCTGGAGGAGGAAGGAGAGAGAAGTATGGGCGAGAGAGAGGGGAGGCCAAGAAAGAAGAGAAAATAGAATTGTTTGAGTAGCGGGATACAACAGGAGGCCGATTCAGGCACAGGAGGAGAGAAAAACATCCTCCTCCTGAGGGTAAACGCTGGCTGTCGGGACGCCGCTGGCTGTGGCTCCAGACACTCACCGGGGCATCTGTGAAGAGGGAGGGCTCCCCAGAGGAGGAGTTAATGAGCAGGTCTTCAGTCTGCAGCTGGTGGGATGAAAGTCTAGTTTTAGGTTTGGGCTATAACCGTGCTGAAAGAGGCTCACACTGTCAGACTTCCCGCATGCATTTCTCAAGATGCCAAGAAATAGTTCCGTCTAAATGATATCATCTTATGTGGCAGTCTTGTTACCTCATTGGTCCCATGAAGGAAGTCATTCAGGGCTTGGGGATCACTGTAAAGAAAAATAATCAAAAATCTGTGAAACCTTTGAATGTCTGGTGTAAAAAAAAACATGTCACCTGCACGCTGGTTATAATCATACTCACCACAAAACATCAAGTAGACAAGTCCCATCTTCATCCTCCATGTCAGCTGAGAGGAGGAGGGCAAAACGTGGTCAGTTTATGTTTTTTTAAAGTCCCTATGTTGTTGTTTTGTTTGTTTTTTTCAAAGAAAATGTAGTTCTCGGAAATATTTCTTTCCCAGTCTGACTTTTGGTATTTCAGCATCTACAATGCTAAAGTGTGTGAAAAGAGACCAGAAACAACTAAGAATTCGACCATATCCTGTTGGGGATGTTTTTTATATAAGATTCTGAGTTCTAATTTTCATTCACACAGAAAAATTGACTTCTGGAAACACGATCTGTTCAAATCTGTTTCATAATGGTGCAAACTAGTACAGTTTTAAGTTCTGGATGCAGTTTTAATTGTTTGGTAATTACATTTGCTCAATACTAATTCACTATTCGTTGTTTTTTTAACAACCAGCCAGTCTTGCTTGAATTTGGCCTCTTAGCCCTTTGCCGGTTCTAATTAGTGGAGTCCTGCCAGCGTTTCCAGCCGACTCTTCATTTCCAGGCAGCAGATGTACGATGAATCAAAAGTCAAGCATCTTAAGAAGATTTCTGAAAGGTAAGATGCACGCTTAAGGACCTAGATACACTATGACCTGCATGGTGGAAAGTATTAACATAAACTCTCATGCCTTCTTGTTTTATGAACCTGCAAGTCATCTCAATTGGCTTTTGTATTACAGTTGGGATTCAAATAAATGCTGAAAATGAAAGAATCAATGAGGATAACGGCAATGATAAAGCACTATTTATCATCCCACAAATATTAGAAGAAATCTGATGGGAATGTTGAGTTATTTTAGGGTCAGAAATGTCTTGTTTTTCTAAGATTCCAAGACGTGAGTCGGCGGACCATTTAACAGTCAAAATGATGACACAGGAGCACGCCAAAATGCCCCAAACCTGCCCAGATTTGAACAAGAAACGCATAGCCTACTTCATGTACGCGGGGCCCCATACAGAGCGGTCGAGCTGAGTTGTGGTGGTGGCCTCATGGGAAGTGGCGGCGGCCGGGCTCCGGCGTGTGGCGGCGGTGGGCCGGGGACGAGACCCCCCTCTGCCGGGGCATGGTGCGCCCCTCGCGGGTGTGGGAAGCCCTGGAGAAAAAGGGGGTGGGGGGCTGCGCATGCAAAGGGGAGAGGCACAGACACGGGACGGCATGATGTTAGGTCACCTCGGGTTCCCACCAGCCCCCC